CTCCAGAACTCATATTTGGTGCTACTGAATATACAACTGCTATAGATATATGGTCTACTGGTTGTGTGATGGCTGAGTTACTTCTTGGACAGGTAATTTTAGACTAATTTGTTTAATAAGGTTACTGTTAAAATTTACTGTTCTCTTCATCGATCGTGTTTCTGATTGCTACCTTGCAATGCAGCCACTGTTTCCTGGTGAAAGTGGGGTCGACCAACTTGTTGAAATCATTAAGGTGATTGCATCTATCATTCCTTGTATAATTCTTTCGAGTACTTGCTTTTAATGCATGATTAATCTATTAATTACTTTTCACATTTGTTGACATTTGAAAAATCAATTGAAGTTTATTATATCTCAACAGTAAACCATAGGTTTTGATAATTATTAGACTTTTGCTTAAAACTTGGTTATGTGAACTCGGGGTGCTTTGATGAACATTCTAGATAACTTTACATTTTCTGATTTCCAAATGAGGTTTATACAGTGTTGCTTAATTTAATATTTTTTTCAATTATTCCTTTTCATAAATAGAAGAAAATTCAAGCCAAAAGTTTAAGGATTTGAGTATTTCATTTGCTGCGGAATGCAGTCTGTGTCAGAACAATTTCTTTGGCCCCCTATGCTGGCCTTCTGTCCATTGTTTTTGACAAAATGTTTGGAAACATGTACATCAAAGTTTCCCGAAGGATTTGATCGATAACATGTCTATGATTTTGAATGTTTTGTTTAGGTTTTGGGGACTCCAACCAGGGAGGAGATCAAGTGCATGAATCCAAACTACACTGAATTCAAGTTTCCCCAGATAAAGCCCCATCCATGGCACAAGGTGTGCGTGCCCTTCTCTCTTTTTTCATAATCTATGCTCTCCTTATCATAAGCTTTCCTATCGAACTCCATAATGCATTTTCTTGCAACAGGTCTTCCAAAAGCGTTTGCCTCCAGAAGCAGTGGACCTTGTCTGTAGGTTTTTCCAGTACTCTCCCAATTTGCGATGCACTGCTGTAAGTTATTGTTTATGCTGCATTGAGTGGTAACTTCAAAAATTATCATTCAGTAATCGGCCTTTTTATTTATCTCCCGAGCAGCTGGAGGCTTGCTTTCACCCATTCTTTGATGAACTGAGGGACCCGAACACTCGACTTCCCAATGGCCGTCCTCTGCCACCACTCTTCAATTTTAAGCCGCAAGGTGAGTTTTACTTGGTAGTTAAAAATACTTGAAAACAAATCATGCCATCAAGATACACAGCCGCATGTTTCGGTTCCGAGAAAGCAGATTTCTCGCTGCATATATGAATGCAATATCTTGAATACAATACGAATATTACAAAATCAAAACTCTATTTAACATGCATGGATGAATTCTTTCTCTACTCATCGTTCCCACTTAAATTGGCAGAGCTCGCTGGCGTCCCCCCTGACGTTGTGAAGAAACTTATTCCGGAGCATGCTCGGAAGCAGAATTTATTCATGGCGCTGCATACTTAGTAACCTTTCCGAGTTTCTACGAGCCAATATCCGTGCCACGCCATTTTCTTTTGCGTCATCGTATATGTAATCATGTAAAAAGAAGAAAAATGTCCCATACCCGTATCATCATCGTTCATCGTTGCTTTGATTGCTGAAGGACCTGGCTTTTTTATTTTTTTTGTTCTTGTTAAATTCTGAAGACTGCTTTTAATTTCTATAACCTTCTATGTATACTTATTTGTTTTGCTATGTTCATCTCACTGTCTCTATAATGTGGCATTCTATAAATCTAGAATTCAAATTTTAATATTTATATATATTTTGGTTTAATTTGATAAAACTGAAAGGAATGTTTTGTGTTAGGATTCAATTACATCGTCCAAACTAAAAATTTTATACCTTTTTAAGATCGGTAGTTGAAGTAAAAGATTAATAATAAGAAATGAGAAGATTCACCGAAGAAAATAAAAGTTAATCTTAGCTTTTTAATCTACGATTTAAAGATATTCACGCTTTGTAATTTGACATACGCGATGTTCGAACTTAAAATTTCAAAAATTATAATAAATACCTTCACCATTGTAGTTGCTTAATTCATGCATAAAATGTGTAAATTGATGTGATGTATGGATATTAAAGGACAGATTTGTTATTAGAGCAGTCAAATTATGTAAAATTAACGGAAAGCATTAAAGCAGCAATCAATATCCTTGATTTGAAAATCAACTTTGTACAGAAAAGAACCGACGAGAATTACATTATTGTTTCGGGGGACCAATTTGTCGGAATTTGAAACTAAGAGACCTCTTTTTTACTGGGGTGAAAATAGAATTGGAAGAATGTCAAAGTGGTTTTTGCATTCAGCCAAAAACAACGGTGAGTTCGGTTTACCCTTTCGAGACTTGGAAATTACAGTGGCAAATACAAAACGAAGAGCAGCACACGGTAAAGTCAGCACACCTTTTCTACTGAAATCACTGCTACTTCAATGGCCGCATCTCTATATAACTATAAGGTAGTTCATGTCGACGTTAAAGACTCGCATCTTTATATTCATGACACTCGAATTCGATTTTTTTGAATTAATCAATCTGATATCCGATCTATTGACCGATTAATCCAATCGAATAGAGTCGAGGTAAGTTTACTCTATTCACTAGGTTAATGGTTCGTACTCGAATCTTTAAAAACTGTCACGGATGTAAGCCCATAAAATGAATTTTCAGTAACGGCTGTTCCCGTTTGCAGATTCGGAAGAAACAAGAGCAAAGACGGCATGGCCTTTACGACCATTAATCTATCTCCTTCTCCTAAGCTTGCTATCGACACCAATAGCTTCAACAATGGCTTTTCTGCTTCTCGACTTTTTCACGGTTCCTTTTTACCATCAAAATCGCTCCTCGGGGCTTCTTCTTTCTCAGCGGGATCCCTCAGTTTCACCTTCGATCATCGTAGATCGACTCGGCCCCTCTGCGGCGGCTCACAATGGTCATCTTCTGCCTTCCGGCGCTTTTCCCTGAAATCAGAGCTCTCCGTTTCGGTCGATGGCCATGGCAGTAACGGTGCTTCCGGTATGATGAGAACTACTCTGAAACACCCTTTTCCCATTAATTTATATATTTTTCCATTTTTCTGAAGCACCTTTAAATATTAATCTGCCAAATTTAAATTTAATTGACATGTTTTCGACTGTGCTTTGATCTTTAAATCGGATGGAGTTAATAGTACAGGTAATGGGAGTGTAATTAAACCAGTTCCAAGTAATATTATGATCAAACCCGTAGGACAAATGTTAAAGCAGATGATTTTGAAGTAAGTGAAAAATTAATCTAAACTGTGCTGCCTTTGGCTAAATGCAACAGCGGAGAGAGTGGTGGTTCTAGTTATTGGTGGAGGGGGAAGAGAACACGCCCTTTGCTATGCGTTGCAGCGGTCGCCGTCTTGCGACGCCGTCTTCTGTGCTCCTGGCAATGCCGGGATTTCCGCCTCCGGGAATGCAACTTGTATTCCTGACCTCGACATCTCGGATAGCTCAGCCGTGATTTCGTTTTGCCGCAAATGGAGTGTCGGTTTGGTTGTTGTTGGACCGGAGGCACCCCTTGTTTCGGGTCTTGCTAATGACTTGGTGATGGCGGGGATCCCCACATTTGGCCCTTCAGCTGAGGCTGCTGCCTTGGAAGGTTCTAAGAACTTCATGAAGACTATATGTGAAAAATATGGGATTCCAACAGCTAAGGTTTTGTCTCAATTCTTTTGCAAAAACTATGCTTATTACACATTATCAGACATGTTTGCTATTGAATTAATGCTCTTTTTAAATATTTGGTTTAGTATCGAACGTTTTTGGATGCATCGGCTGCGAAGCAATACATTGAAGAGCAAGGAGCACCTATTGTTATCAAAGCAGATGGACTGGCTGCTGGAAAAGGAGTTACAGTTGCTATGACGTTGGAGGAGGCGTTCGAAGCTGTCGATTCGATGCTTGTAGAGGGTGTTTTTGGTTCCGCAGGTTGCTGTGTCATTGTCGAAGAATTTCTTGATGGAGAAGAAGCATCGTTCTTTGCCCTTGTGGATGGCGAGAATGCCATACCGCTTGAGTCTGCTCAAGACCATAAACGGGTTGGAGACGGTGACACCGGTCCAAATACTGGTGGGATGGGGGCATACTCCCCTGCACCAGTCTTAACTAAAGAACTTCAATCTGTGGTCATGGAATCTATTATTCTCCCTACGGTGAAGGGCATGTCAATGGAGGGATGCAAATTTGTCGGTGTTCTATACGCCGGACTAATGATTGAGAAGAAGTCCGGCTTACCTAAACTAATAGAGTATAATGTTCGGTTTGGAGATCCGGAGTGTCAGGTCAGTGATAGGCTGGTTTATGTGCTATCTTCAAAGCTTTTCAACGAGGCAATAGATTCTTAAATGGTGTTTGCTGTGGTTTGCTCTGCAACAGGTTCTGATGGTTCGCTTAGAGTCCGACCTCGCAAAAGTTCTGCTAGGAGCGTGTAGAGGAGAGCTAAAAGGGGTGACGCTGAACTGGTCCCCTGGATCAGCCATGGTCGTAGTAATGGCAAGCAAGGGCTACCCCGGCTCATACGAGAAAGGGACCGTGATTAGGAACCTTGAGGAAGCAGAACATGTTGCTCCTTCGGTCGAGATATTCCATGCCGGAACTGCACTCGATTCAGATGGAAATTTCATTGCTACTGGTGGTCGTGTTCTCGGGATTACTACTAAAGGCAAAGATCTTGAAGAAGCAAGGGACAAAGCTTACCTAGCAGTCGAAGAAATCAACTGGCCGGAAGGATTCTACCGGAAGGATATTGGATGGAGAGCACTTCCTCAAAAGCAATTTGCTTAGAGTTACATCAAAATCTCTCCTATATAATAACTGGCTCTTACCCCAATTGCAAAATGAAATTACCTCAAATTAAATTTCCAAAGAATAGCATACCTAAAGTTTATACTTGTTCTGGTGCATGCTGGTAAATCAGAATTTATTCACTGCGAACATAGGAATTCATTGTTTCAACTGTCGGTTCTTTAGATATATGTATCGTATAATGTACATAATTTTTTTTCACAAATCTATAAATCTCGTCTTCAACTTGGCAATTTATATGAATCAAGTTTCAAAACGAAGGATAAATGGAAAACGAAAGCTCACACCACAGATATGTATAGAGGAAGGAAATAAAAGATCCTTCTTTACCGTCTTACCCTTCTTTGGGTAGCAAATAACCCAAGTATAAAGATTATGTACCTATCTTTCAGTTCTTCGGTCTGATGGTCAATATGCTACTTGATTGATTCCGCTGCTTTATTCCGGCATATGGTTCCTGTGACTGGGACTATCCGGTTTATCGAGCCTTCCACTTGTAGAAGGGCTACCTCTCCTAGAAGACCCTCCACTTGGATAAGCCATGCAGTCATCGCAGCAGCAAGGACATCCATGGTATCCATTCCCCATGTTATGTCTGCCTACCGGATAGACTCGGTTTACCGGAACATGACCGTGCCCCATGGTGCCCCTTGTGAAGTCGTGTGGCCAATCTGGGGATGTTCTTGGAGATTGGATGCCATAGGGTTGTGGTTGCTGGTGGTTTTGTTGATAATGATGATGTTGCTGGTAAACTTGGTGATTACTATGGTTGTTATTACTTTGCAGGTGGAGGTTGTAAAGGCTAGGAGAACTGCGGACTTTAGGCATGGGGGGTTTGTTATGTTGGTTTGAACTTAAAACTGATGGCTCCATGGGGTAAGAGCTAGCCATAGCATCCGGAGAAGCTGCTCTAGGGGAAGTGCAAGCAGAGATGCTGAAATTGGAGCGGTTTGGGTTGACAGGGGTTTGTCTTCCACTAGTGTTATTTGAACTCGGACGAGGTATGCCATTGATGGCTTCTATGTACCGCTGCTCGATGGCGTAGGGATCGGCAGGGTTCGTCTGGTTCTCAACTACGATCGGGTTCGAAGGGAACAAAAAAACACGTAGTTTCGGAGTTCCTTCACTTTCGAGACGATGATACTCATCAACCATATGTTTGACATCCTCATCGGATTTTACAGTTACCAAGGCATCAAGTTCTTCAGGGATAACCGGGAACTTCAGAATCACGTCGCCTTCAACCATACCGTTCACCTTCTTCTTCAATTCTGTCACGTACAGGGAAAATGTCACTTTAAAAAATGGATTTTACAAAAAAAAAAGCTGATTTCTTCAGCTTTTAAGATATTCACATATTGCTATGATTCTTTTTCCTACAAATCTGAAGAGGATAAAGCTTACTAAGATTTGAAATTTGGCCAAAATGCCAACATAAAGCTACTATAAACACTAACTGTGGTTTTTCGACTACAGCTTAGAAATAGAAGTGATCAATCCAAGATATGATAGCTTAAACAATGGAAAAGTGATTAGACAGAGCAATTTTTGAATTCTAAATCAATCTAAAGTATCAAAGAGCTAAGTACTAGTAGTTATTTCAAAATGAAAACGAAGGTGAAGCAAATATTGGAAAAACTATAAATGTCAATGACCAAATTACCATTGGAATAAGTCGAGTTGGCATAAAACTTAACTAGGATGAAACGAGGACAAACCTGAAAATTTGATATCCCCCGGGACCGCCACCATTCGAGTCTCTCCACCAACGTACTTGAGTTTACCGTCGCTTGATCTGGGCAATATTTTCCCGCCATAGCTGCAAAGAAACTTTAGCCTATTCTTTGGCGAGCAAGGAATCATCGGCGAGCAAGGATTCATAGGCGATGAAGGAGTCATCGGGGACGAGGGATTTATCGGTAATGAAGCCAACCCTTCATCGCTACCAACGGTTTCGCTCACCGTCATTTGAGTCGCCTCTCCAAGTGGTTTAACTGGGGGATTCGTTGCTTCTCAATGTCGTATCCGATCGCCAAATCTATTTCTGTCGGCGTTTTCCTCCATACTCTACGATTTTTAATGAAAAACAATTTTATTGAAACATATTACAATATGATTCAATATAAAGAAATAAAGGCATATTAATCAATGTAATAAACTACAACCGAAAATTCATAAAGCTTCGGAAACAATAGAAAATTCACATTTCAAAAATGAATACGCGGTTGGAACAATTAGACGGTTTAAATTGTGATGAGAAATCAGAGATGTTCCTTAATTTCAATGCAGAGAATAATATTGATTTAAACAAATATTTTTAATCAACTGCAAATTAACGTCTCCAATTCTGTTAAGAAAACCTTTCCGCTAACACCAGAAAGTTGATTGAATTGAATTAAAACTCACCGATTCCAGTTCCGGCCGCTTCGATCTACCGGTTTACTTAATTATAGCAATTGCCTCCTTCAAAATCTGTTGCCGTTGCAATCAAATTAATATATGTGCATATATTTTGAGCGGATAATATCACAGAGAATCTTCCTTTACATTTCCAGAAAAAAAAAAGTCAGTTTAAGCAAGCATTTCTAAAATTAAAAAGATATTAAATTAAATTTAGCAAATCTTAATAAAGAAGTTATAGAACTGAATGAAATTACTGTTTGGATGGCGAGAACTGAGTCAGAATTGTAGCAGAGCAAAAACGATATTTTCCTTTTAGAGAAAATGATGAATAACAGGAAAATAGGTCAGCAAACAAAAATAGTAAATAAAAGGCTTAATATCTAAAATGGCCCCTCTAATTTAGTGAAAAGTTTCACTTTAGTTCTTTTACTATGTATTCGATTAGTTTAACCCTTCAACTTTCGATTTATTATCGATCTAGCTCTTTGACATTATCTAGGGTATAAATGGACCGGACTTAAACGAATAAGCATGTGTTTATGTTGTTTATTCATTTTTCAAGACGATCATGTTCGTTTGTTTAATTTTAAAGATTTCTGTGTTTGGCTCATTTAGCATTCTTGAACATGCTCATTTAATGTTCTTGAACATGCTCATTTAATGTTCATGAATATATTCGTTTATGTTCGTCAACATGTTTGTTCATATGGTTCGTTTATATGTTCGTTTATGCTGTTTTAATTTTTGCTCTGGGTCCCTATAATGGCCGAGACAACCCTGCCGAGTAATATGGGTGGATGCGCTAAGCCTTATAAGGGGTCAAGCACGTTAAAAAGATGATTAAATTTAATGTAATAAAATTAGCTGACCCTATTTCCATATGTAATGGGATGAGGGGGAGGTAAGATAGTAGGCTGTGCCCCAACGCCAAGTTAAGAGCAGCTTCCGTAGAAAGACATCCGGTAGTCAGAATTAAATTTAATGTAATGTGTTAAGAAAAAAATTATTATTTTTAAATAAAAATATTAAAATTTTATATTTTATTCTTAAATTTATGTATTCATCACTGTCGGATAATACCGACGATTGGTACAACAACATGCAAGGTATTGCTTTCTACATAAAGAAGAGACGAGTATAAAATTTAATAAATTGAAGGAGATTTCCAAATGATGAATGTTTTGTTTTCTTTGAAACCTGAGTCCAAATAAAAACAAGAGTATCCTATGCTCAAGATTTACACGATAATGCTGCCAAATTTTGGACTTTATAATAAAACTGAATTTCTTCTTGCGTGTCTAAATAGATTTCACATGTCATTCAATGGCCTTGTCTTGTCTATTTGATTCTCGGTTGCATTCTCTGTATCTTTTAATAAAATAAAAACGATAAAATCATCTTTCAATTACTTACACCTGAACCCGATCCGATTCTACCCGAAATAATAAAAAAATTATTTTATTCAATAAAACAGTTATTATGAAACGATTCAATCCGATGTCGGAAACTCAAGATACGTTCATTTTTGTGAACAAAACGCATGCAGAAATCCATATACGTGATTAATACAAGATTTTACAAATATTATGAATTGTCAATAATTTTATTAATTATTTGTAATATAATTTAATATATGATTTATTATCTTTTAGATTAGATTTATTATTTTATTAAGAATTAAGATATAGTAAAAATATATTTAATTGATTATTATTTTATTAGAAATTAGGATATAATCAAAATATTATCTTTATTTTATTATTATTTTATTGAGTAGTTACTTAGATTCATGAAACTCCTCATCTTATATAAATAAGGCTCAATTCACCATTGTAAATCAGATTTCTTTGATAAATAATATAACTAGAGTTCGTTTTTTCAAGTGTTGATTGCCTTCTGCCTTTGAAGCATTTTTCATCTTTAAATTCTTCAAGTTCTTCGTGAGGGAGATTTTCACACTCCACTCCGGTTTGTCTTCTCATTGCGATTAGGAGGGCTAGTTAGAGCTGATTATCGAGTTTTCCTAGTAAATTGAGATTAGGAAGATTTGTAGGACAACTATCTATCAATCACAATCATCATCTTCATCATCCAAACAACATACACGACTACCTCCATCCAAAACAAAGAGTGATTTTGTCGAAACCCTAATTTTAGCTAAGTCATCATATCTTTATTTTCTTTATCCTTGATTACCTTATTATTTTAATCTTAATTATTCTCATATTAATATTTAGTTTTTTTTCTTAATTTTACAAAAACTATTCCCAATTTAGAACCTTAGTTTACGACAAGCCCTAATACATCTTCCATCTCGTTCTTTGATTGAAGTTCCATAGGCTTGATTCTTAAAAAATAAGCTACTTTCATCACAATCTATCAATCGATATCATATTTGGATCAATTTTTGAAGAAAATTAAGCAATCTTTTTTGTTCTTGCGTACATCAACGTCAAGATACCCCACAGAGCTAGTTCGCAACGAGTGATCATTTTCAGATTATTTTTACATTATTTTTTTTTCAATTTCTTCTTGTTAGTTTGTTATTTTTAATAAAAAATCAAACAAGAAAAAAATCAAACAAGAAAAAGGCAAAAAAAAAGAAAAGCAAAAAAATCTCAGAAAAAACAAATAAAGGAATTTGGAGTTGATTTTTTTACAAGTGCATTATTCATCCCAATAGTGGTTTATAGTCAAAAATTCAGGTAAATCGGGCATCAATAGATCACTCAAAAGCGTCATTTAAATTTGTTCAGTAAATTTAGGGTTCTTCATTGAAATAATTTCTAGAAACTTCTACTAAAGGAATTTTGATCTAAAATTTTGCAGGTGTATTTCTCATTACAAGAACGTTCTCAACTAAAAAACGTGAGACCATTTTAACATCAACAACCCCTTCAAACATGTTGATAAAAAATGATAGAATTAGGATTTCTTCGTTCAAGAATTTCTACTGTAATACCCCAAATTTTGTCTAGTGACTAAAGTGTAAGTTTTGAAAGTTTAGTGGCTAAGTTATAAACTTTGAAAAGTTTAGGGATCAAAATTTTAATTTTTAAAAGTTATATATTTTAGCTTGTAAATGAAAAGTTTGGATTACTACAGAGATTTTAGTGGGAATCAAATTTTGGTACGGGAATTGAGTTAAAAGCTATAAAGCAGTAAAGTTCGGTATTAAAATCAAATATTCAGATCGAATTGGAATTTTACGAAAATTTGAAGGATGTTATAAAATGGTTGGAAATATTATTTTAATATTTTATATCAGAGAAATTTAGCTCAGAAATGTGAAATTTTTAATATTTGACCGAAACAGTGGAATTTAGTGACTAAAATGCAATTTTTGAAAATTTTATGTAAAATTTCCTAAATCAAAGTCAAGTTGTTCATCTTTGACTGGAAGATGATAAGGTTTATGTGGTTTGGTATTAATGTAAATATCAAGTTAATTAAGGGTAAATTAGTAAAGATATTTTAATTTTAAGGGTAAATTGGTAATTTAGTATTTAATGAATTTTTAATTCATTAAATTATAAAGAAAGTTGAAGAAACTATGAAGGATATTTTTTCATCTTCAGCAGAATGGTAGTGAGTTTCTCCCAAAGGTAAAAAAATATTTTTGTTTTTCATTTTTGAGTAATTTTCTTAGGATTTTGAGTTATGCCGTAAAATAGAAAATTGTTCTACATGAAATTCTCGATCATTTGGTACCAAAATTTCATGGAGAAGATAAATGTGTGATGAGATTTTATGATTTGGAGTTATACAGAGTTTAGTGGTTTTAAATAATTGGTTGTAAGAATTGATGAATAACCTAAGGATGCAAATTAAGGAAAACAATTTAGATTTTTGAATCTGACAGTGGGTTTGAAAATTCACCAGAAATTATATAAAAATTATTTAAAGTTTATTTTTTTATCAATCTAGTTTTGTTTAAAACAAACAGGGATCAATTTCAAGATATATACAAAAAGATATGATTTTTTAACCGATGTAAGGTTAGAAAAATGGGATTCTGCATAAAATAGATTTGATCGGTCAAATTTTAAAATTTACCATAAATTGTACAAAATGAACTAGAATGAGTTATTTATATGGATAGATTTGTATTCGAGTCTAGTTTTCAATGGAATAAACAGAATTAAATTTCAGTGTGTATATCAATACAAAATATTGATTCTTTAAAGGTAGTGCGAGTTGTCTGATTTTGGAAATTATTTTGAAAATGTATTTATGTTAGTACAATACTAACATATGTATCGATATGAATTTATGATTTTGTACAGATCGTGATTGACTATGTGTTCAAAGAAAATAGAATATAAAAAGGAATAAATTGGAGCATAGTGAATCAAAATCTTTTGGAATTATAAAGTGTCATGGTGACTGCAATACATGCATAACACTGTACATATATGTTTTATACATCATCAGAAAGACTTGTGATAAGTATACCTTGTTTTATCAGCATGAAATTTTGACATGGATGTTTTGGGTATGAACTGCCCTAATGTTTGTTTCATGGTTATACGTTGCCATGGATGATTTAATTCATGACTAAATGCCTAAGTATGTTATTGAGGTTTAGTGGTATTAATGGCATGCCATAGAGTCTAGCAACTATGAAAATTTAAGTAGTACTAATGTGTATAGTGAAGACACATAGTACAAGTTAGGTGGGCAAGACCCGACCTCAGCACTATGGTGCAATTTATTAGGTAAGCATGGCTCGACCTTAGCGTTATTATACAATTTTTTACTCTTATACCGGGTTCCTCGTAGATTAATAAATTGGGCTATAGTTATTGATTAAATAGTTATATTTATAACATGTCATGTTGATTTTGGCAGGTAAGAAAATGTTATGGTATTTGATGATGACATTTAAATTTTATGCATGGAAGGATTGTTATTATCTTAATTGCCTCACTAAGTATATACTTAGCGTGTGATGATTTTCACTCGTAGGTAAACATCAGGAGTAGAAGTAAGGAGTACAGAGCAACATCAAACATCGAGGAGTGTAATACAATATCAGTAAGACATCCTTTGATGTGATTCTGACTTATTTAGTGGCATGCACTTATAAATGTCCTAGTTGCTCTGTTAACTATTTTGGAAATTGTTGTAATGGCTAAACTAAACTCTGTTTTACTATATTTCATCATGGATGATATTATTTAGTATTACTTTTATAAATGGACGTATTTGATATTTAAATATTATACATAAATTTCATGTGATTTATTCTTTTATATTTTATATTATAATTGGGAGAAAATAAATTTCAAACCACTTTTAAATTGGTAATGTTTTAAGTAAATCATGTGACATCTATAACCTATATTGGTATAAGTATACGGTTGTAGGTGTTACATCTACAATATATTACTGAAGGTATTTAGGGATAAACATTTACAAGTTGTTTCTACACTAAAAGACAGACCTCCAAAAAAAATTTAGGTCATTTGGACATCGGAAACCCCTTCAAACACATTGCTTAAGTTAATCTTGCGTTTTTGGGTTTTTCAAGTTTGCTTCCAACTTTTTTCTTATTCTTATAGCTTTATGTTTATTTGTTTTTTTTCCTTCTTTGTCCTTTTACATCATCTAACACGTTATTGTTCTTGAGTTAGTAGGATTAAAAGAGTTTGCATAATTCTTCTTCTTTGCATTCTCGTTCAATTAGAGTCTTACCTTTTGTTTGACTTCTTAGAGCTACTAAGTATTTCTTTTGTCTTTGTTAGAGATTGAACTATGATACGAATATTTTGTAGAAATTCTTGAACAAAGAAACCCTAATTTTGTCTATTTTTTATCAACACATTTGAAGGTGTTATTCATTTTAAAATATTCCAATTTTTTATTAAAGAACGTTCTTATGATGAGTAATAAGCTTGTAAAATTTTAGATCAAAATTCCTTTAGTATAAATTTCTGGAATTTTTTTCAACGAAAAACCCTAAATATGTCAGAAAAATTTGAACGACACATTTAAAGGGTATATTAATGTTCGATTGACCTGAATTTTTTATTGGAGACCACTCTTGGATGGAGAATGTACATGTAAAAAAATTCAACTCCAAATTCTTTCGTTTTCTTTTTCTAGGATATTTTTTTCTTTTTTCCAATTTTTTTTATCTTTTTATCTTTTCTTTTTAATTTTTTTAATTTTATTTTATTTTCTTTTTGATGAAAACAACAAACTAACAAGAAGAAATTGAAACTAAATTAAAATAATACAAAATGAATCTGAAAACGATCACTAGTCGCGAACTAGCTCCGTTTGGGTACATTGACGTTGATGCACACAAAAACAAGCAAGATTGCTTGATTTTCTCCAAGAAACGATCCAAATCTGATACCAATTGATAGAAGATGACAATTGCTCAAATGCATAACTTTAAGAAAGAACAACACTCCATTTAATTACCCATACCACTTAATAATCCTACCGAAATACTCCCTCTGTCTATTAAATTTATTCATTGTTGACTTTTTCAGCTAATTTTTTTAACTTTGACTTATTATTATTTAAAATTTGTTATTGATAAAGTTATAAAAAATATTTTAAAAACCTTTAATCAAATAAATTTTAAATATATATTTTATAAAATTTAATTATTTAAAATAATTAAAATAATCCTACTCAAAATTTAAAAATTTTGACATTTAAAAAATTAATAATTGATACTTTTAATGGAACTAAAATAGTACATCTTAACTAAACTTATACATACAAAAACTTATTTATTAACCATTACAAATTTAAAACCTCAATCGTACTATCGAATTATGATCTCATCAGTACAAATCAAACGATTTTAGTGGTAAAAGAAATATTGTTAATCATTGAAATTTCGAATTTGAACATAAAAAATATTAATAATATAAACATTCAATATCAAATAATTGAAAATTATATTTAAATAAATACAACCATGTAGATACTAAAAAAACTATGGTCTCATCAGCAAATTTATGTATTGTATTATATTAGATATTATTATCTATTATGGTCTTGATTTATTTGATATTGGGTTAAACGTAGGATGAGCATGGGATTCGAACTCGATAGGTTTTGACCCGACTCGATCCGATAGATTTCAACCCGACCAAAATTTATCGGGTCGGATTTTTTTAAAAATTTTGAGTTCGGTTCGGATTGAGTGTTTTTAAAGGTGATGTTTAGGTCGGGTTGGATTCATGTTTAGGGTAAAAATACCCGTCCTGATCCAACCCAAAAAAAATATAATTTTACCTTATATATTTAGGAATAATTAAAATAATATCTTCCATATTTTTTTCAATTAAATCATTATTTTTATTTAATAAAAGTGTATACAGAAAATTCCCTGTTGAGTTAATCGATTGACGGAATTGGCCAAGAGGGGGTGAATTGGCAATAAAAATTTTGGTGGAAGATTTTGCAGAAAATTGAAAGAAATTGCACATCGATTTAGAGTGGTTCGACTTTCTTAACCAAAGTCTACGTCCACTACCTTAGCTATCCACACTAAGGATTTTTCACAAATTCACTAATTTGTCTTTCTTTTGAGGACAAAGAGTAACCTTACAAACTCTCAAGAATTATACCCCAACTTCTTGAGAACACTCTCTCCCAAAGAGAACAATACAAATTTACAAACTTACAAGGAAATCCTCACAAGGTAGATTGTTTGCACAATTCTAGAACAAAGAAAAGAACACTCAAGAATGAATAAAATTGAGCACAATAAGTGTTCTTGAAAACAAAATGAATATTGAATGAAAAATAGGCTTGGAATGCTCAAACTTGAGGTTTGATGCTTTCTCTTTGATTCTCTCATGATTATAGTTGCTTGATGTTTCTTGTTATTGATCAATGCCTTTTAAGCTTGTTTAAATACAGCTTCAAATGATTCTGAACGTTGGGGATGCTTCATGGAGTCAATATAGCCGTTTAAGTGTGAAAACAATTAATTAAAACAGTTGGGAGCGTCAGTGCATCGATGCATACCCATGGTGCATCAGTGTAAAATTCAAATATTTTGACCGTTGGACCCTTAGTGCATCGGTGCATTAAGAGTGCATCGATGCATCAAGTGCATTCGATGTTTCAAAATAGCCAGAGTGCATCGATGCATGGCTGGTGCATCGATACATCAAATGCATTCGATGTTTTCATAAAATCCTCAGTGCATCGGTGCATGGTATGTATTCGATGTTTTCATAAAATCCTCAGTGCATCGGTGCATGGTATGTGCATCGATGCATAGAATGCATTCGATGTTCAATTTAATTCATGGTGCATCAATGCATGGATTGGTGCATCGGTGCATCACTCTAAAAAATTGATTTTAGGCTTGATTTTGGTTCAAAATACTTTGTGAAATTTGTTTCAAAAATATATTAAGTATAAAACACAATTTTACACATTTAGTAAGGTTTGAAATTGATCTTAAAAGACTTGGAGTAATAATTTGATATTCAATTAATTAAATCGAATATACTTAGAAAATCATTTGTAAAATCTTAAAATTCATTTAAATTTAATTTGTTATATCGAAACACAAAATGTTTTCAACATTCCCGCCAAAATCAAATGTGCAACACATATCAATCCGGATTAGACGGGACAAAGCCTTGAAAATCGAGAGAGAATAAAAAATGATTTCAACACATTTGTGTTCAATCTTCAATAGTACCGATATACACTTAAAACATTCACAGTCTTAGCTCGATTGAAGCTCGAATTCGAGTTCAGATCAAGCTCGAACTTGAACCTTAATGATATGAAAACTTTATACTATATTTTAAAAAAAATAGAAATGTTCATATTATTAATAATCTAATTTTAAAAAGTAAAAACTATTTTCTCAAATTGTTTTATGAGCTTTATGAGTCAAATATCAAGTTGTTTGTTTTAACTTGTTAAGAATTTTAGTTGAGTTCTAGCTTGAATTGAGTCTATTTATATTGAATATTAATCATATTTTAAATGAATTAAACTTAAATAATTTGTGATCTATTTCATTTCATTTACTTCATCGTGTAAACGTTTTTAGAGTAAATTACGCATTTAGTATCTAAATTATTAGTTTTGATCTATTTTAGCACCTAGACTTTTAATTTTTTTCAAAATCATACTTAAAGTTTAGTTTTTATTTCATTTTAGTATCCGTTCAAAATTGAACGTTATGTTTTGAAAATATTTAAAGTTTATGTATTAAAACATGCCAAAACTAATACTTTAGGTACTAAATGCGTTAAGGTTTTAACGACGGTAGCTAAAATGAAACAAAAACTAAACTTTATGTATGATTTTGAAAAAATTGAAAGTTTAGGTTCTAAAACAAACCAAAATTGATAGTTTAGGTACTAAATTTATAATTTACCCTTTTTATAATTATTTTGGGTAAATTACATGTTTAGTACTTAAACTATTAGTTTTGGTCCGTTTTAGTACCTAAACTTTCAATTTTTAAAATCATACCTAAATTTAGTTTTTGTTTTATTTTAGTACTGTATTCAAAATTTAACATTAAGTTTTGGAAATTTTTTAAAATTTAGATACTAAAACATATAAAAATTGATAGTTTAGGCACTAAACGTGTTAAGTTTTTAACAGTGGGTACTAAAATGAAACAAAAACTAAATATTAGGTATGATTTTGAAATAAATAGAAATTTAGGTACTAAAATATATCAAAATTGATAGTTTAGATACTAAATGCGTAATTTACCTTTTTTATATATAATTATTTTTCAGCATAAAATCTCGTGTAGCAAAGTCAATAGAGAGTATTTTCCGTGAAAGGCTCAAATGACTCAAAATCACTTAGGCCCCCCACGAATGTGGAAATTTCTCACTTAATGGAAACTGCATGGCAACTTGATTGTATAGCGGCAAAATTGGAAAACTAAAATATCTATGAAAACTAAACCACATACAAAGAAAAGTCAAACTCATGATCATGAATACCCATCTATTTTTTCTTATATTTTTGTCTCAAAGACAGATTTAATGCAATCTTTGCCGACATTCTGGACTTTCACACTGGAAGGTAACTGTATTCTCTTCCACCTCTTCTCTCTTTGTATTTTCCTTGTTTTGGATAGTTTATTTGGATCCTTAGGAGTTGAATGCATCCACCAAATGGTCCTTGTAATGTGAATTTTGATTGTTTGGAAAGCTTTTCTGGTAATTTATTTTGGTGTTCTGGTGAAAAATGAAGATGGGTATCAAGAACAACCAGCTGGTTTTCGTTTCTAGGAGTAGCTCAAAGATTGGGTTAGTTTCAGACTCTTAGTATGATGGGGACATACATACATACATACATACATACATACATACATACATACATGCATGCATGCATGCATGCATACATACATGCATACATACATGCATACATACATACATACATACATACATACATGCATGCATACATACATACATACATGCATGCATACATACATGCATATACATATAGTCATCTATCCATGTTCATGCGCCAGAGATTATTGGTTCATTGGAGCTAAGTCCATCTGCCTGGTCAATGTTTATAGTCAAAAGGTCTTCATGGGGGTTAAAATATTTTGGGAATATGGGGATATATTTTGTCTAATGTATTGCATGAGCTCTGAATTGCTAGTGTTTGTGAAAAAATGGGCAGGTTTGGTTAATTTGAGATTGGTTTGGTATCCGAATCTATCCATAAAGTGTAGAGTGGGAATCTTGTTCGGTGAAGAATAGTGATATACCGGTCAAATGGCGCTCAAGGTGTCGGCTCAGAGGGCGGCTGAGATTGCAGTTGGGTCTATTGGGTGTGGATATAATCTAGCTCTTGATTTGAAGTTGAAATATTGTTATGAAGATGGAAAGGATTCACCCTTGATAAAGTTTGAAGATGTCGGGTCTTATGATGTAGCTTTGCCTGGTGGAGTCTCCATCCGGAATGTATCCAAGTTGATCAAATGTAATCAAGGCAAGGAGGGCATGAGGAACAAGTCTGATGTTGTTTCTTTTCAGCAGGTAAATTCATTTGTTTCAGCTGATAAATTTTATTTCTTCCAACATAGTAAGGGGCATTAGGCTAACAAAAGTGACTTAATCTTACCCACACCGTAGTCAGGAAATAGGGGCAACCCTCGATGGTGGGTCTAGAACATACCTTAACCGGTGGAGGAGCTCATAACCGATGATTGTCCATCGCTATAATGAGCGCAGGATGTTTAAGAGATCTCTCAGGAAACTTTTCAATGTTTGGAATGGGACAATTTCCTAAATACAAAAGATCCACTCACACCCTTCGGTTCCTCTACCCTGTCATGGCCCATATACATGGGTGGCCCTTGGCACATCAACCGGTTATGGCCCTATATATAAGTGGCCATGACTTATTGCACTTGGAAATAGGATGGTTTGGTTATGGGGCTGAATCATTATTGAGACTTGAACTTTTGAAAGCAGATGATTGTTGTTTTTTCTTTCTTCCCAAATGTACTAATTCAGATTTCTGTCACCATTTGGAACATTTGTCTTTGGCCGGCAAAAAAGTACAGAACGTTTTGTTATTTCTTTTCTCTCTAATTAGTCTTTCCTTTGTTTTTTCTCTTTCTAGGCAGATGTCGGAACAGTTCAACCATGCATTGTCTCTGAGTGGCAAAATTCCTTCTGGTTTATTCAATGCCATGTTCGACTTCTCCGGCTGTTGGTACAAAGATGCAGTCGGCACTAAGACCCTAGCTTTCGATGGGATATTCGTCACACTTTATACGGCTTCACTGGAGAAATCGCAAATGATACTGCGTGATCATGTTAGGCAAGCTGTTCCATCATCATGGGAACCTGCTGCCTTAGCAAGGTGAAGTAATCGAATTAGAAATAAGTTTACAATCATATAGTGGAAACATATAAATACGGTGTAATCATGCAAGAGTGTGATCATTTGGTTCTGTCATTCCAGATTCATCAGGACATTTGGAACTCATATTGTAGTTGGTGTGGAGATGGGTGGAAAGGATGTAATATATGTAAAACAGCAGCACTCATCGATTGTTCAGCCAGACGATGTATATCTAAAATTAAAGAAGTTGGCTGATGAGAAGTTTTCAAAGAACAACGTAAAAAGTTGGATCGAGTCGGAACAAGTGAAGCTAAAAAATCAGGTTGTTATAATGCTAAGCATGCTATACTTTACCCATGGATTCACTATTTCGTATCATCAACCAGTACATTTATCAAACATCTATTTGATTCCAATGGATCAGTCCTGTTCAGAGATGGAAGTTTGTCGAATACAAATCCCGGTCATCTTTTTCTTATTTGCCTTCTTTGCACATAGTACATGCTCTTATTTGCTAATTCTATATGCAGGATATCTCTGTAATTTACAAAAGGAGAGGTGGGAAAGAGGAAATGAACTTATCTCATACTGAGTGGCTACACACTGTTCAGGTTCAGCCCGAGGTGGTCTCCATGTCCTTCATTCCAATTACTTCTTTGTTAAGTGGAGTTCCGATGAGCGGATTTTTGAACCATGCCATAGATCTCTACTTACGATGTATGCAAGATGGACTTTCTCTATTATTTGTTAATTTACTGCCATTGTAACAGTCAATGGTTTGTTTTTTCATAGACATCAAGATTATCAACACATTTGTTGTAGAGAATCATTGTGATGTTAATAGTATAAAGATTTTAGACTATTTCAAATGGATGACTGTCGAAAAATTTATATGACAGATAAACCGCCGCTCGAAGAGCTACATTTGTTTCTGGAATTTCAGCTACCAAGGCAGTGGGCACCAGTTTTCAAAGAGTTCCCCCGTGGTTCGCAACAGAAGCGACAGAGCAATTCGTTCCTACAGTTCAAGTTATGGGGTCCCAAGCTTTATGTTAACACCATTCCAGTAAAGCTTCTTTTGATACTCTTCAAATCTCTGCTGTTTTTCTCTTTACTTCTTTTATTCATGACCATTAGATGAGCATTTTTCTTTTTTCTTGTGCTACAAGAAAGTCCAAAGTCATTTTGTTGGAGGTGGTATTCATTTTGTTCATGTTAAAATCAATACTTACTATTGTTACCAATTCCATGACAGGTTGATGTCGGTAAGAGACCAGTTACAGGTCTTCGGCTGTATCTCGAGGGTAAACGAAGCAATCGGTTGGCCATCTACATGCAGCACCTTTCTTCTCTACCGACGTACTTTCAACTCGTCGATGAACCCGTCGATACATTTCCTCATCAAGAGTCCTATGATAAAAGATACTTTGAAAAAGTCCGGTGGAAGAACTTCTCTCGAGTTTGTACGTCTCCCGTGGAGGCTGACAACGATCATTCCATAGTAACCGGAGCTCACCTACAGGTAGAGAAATATGGATTCAAAAGCATCCTCTTTTTACGACTACATATCTCTACTGTTTTGGGAGCGGTAATCATGAGGCATTCAGAGTGGGACGGATCGTTCGGATTCGCACCTCAGTCCGGAGTCCTATCTGATCTTTTGAGCAAGTCTTTGACGCCACCTCCACCACAATCTAAGCCACCACATACAACAAGATCTACAGTATACCCCGGTGGGCCCCCGATGCCGAATTACACTCCGAAGCTATTGAAATTCGTGGATACGTCCGAGATGAAGAAAGGGCCACATGATCCTCCTGGGTACTGGGTTGTTTCCGGGGCAAGACTGGTTGTTGAGAAAGGCAAGATCGCTCTACGGGTAAAGTATTCCTTACTAACTGCCGTGCTAACCGACGAGATACCCGACGAGCATTAGCACATTTTTGTTATGCTGATGAGTATCTAGGCAAGCCCTGGCTACCACGGCCGGAACCAAAAGGGTCTCATCAACATAAAGTCTCTACCTTCATCCGGCTAGTTGTCATCTCCAGAGAGATAGGGCATATAGTTCAGTCTCCACTCTCTCTTTTTCCACTATTGTAATTTATTTGTGCTATTTTAGTCAAAATATTGTTGTAAAATAAAGATATTAACTTTGATTATAACAATTAAATAAAAATAAATATAAAAACCACTATTTTAAAAATAATTTTATCATAATCAATATAATAGTGAAATTAACGTTGTTCTAAAAACTAATCAGTGTTAACGCGAACATCAACCATGGACTTTGAAGGTGAACCTGTCAAAGATGCTACTTAAATATGAGGTCAAATTGATTAAAATATATATAAATGTAGAAAGATCAAAAATTTATTTATACTTTTTCATAGTTTTCAGGTCAATAATTATAAAATTAAATAAAAATTGTAAAGAGAATCAAAATTTTCAAATAAAAACTAATAAAATCGTTACAATAATTAAGACTTTTAGTGATTATTTAATCATGACATTAAAGATTTTCGTCATAGGAAATATGTTACTATAATCATTGAAACAAAACTAGCTACTTAATATCATAAGGATCATACAAGAAAAGATTAAAAATCTAACCAAGAAACTCAAACAAAAATAGATACAAATAGATCTGATGGCATCGACAAGCGAACCATAAAATGAGATCAAGCTAGTGAAATACCACCGACAAATCACAAATCAAACTTGAGCAACGTGAAAAGTCATCTAGCAAATTTGGTATCCAAATCCATTAAGAGGGTCCAAATCAGAGAGAATAAAAAAATAACATATAAGCGTCATTTTAATTAGCCGTGACGATGTCAAATCAACCCTAAGAAAAAGATAAATGAAAAGAATAGTCAAACAATCCAAAAATGTGCCTTAATGATATATGGAAACATGTCATATAGAATAATTTATTGAAAAATAAAAAAAGAAAATAAATATACAAAAAAATGGATAATAAAAAATATCGACAGTTGACAACTAACATTAAAGTTAAGGGATAAGCGACACACCAAAAAGATAAAAATGAAATTTAATTTCTTTAATTAAATTAAGATGATTATAAAATAATATCTGTTTTAAATAATTTCAACTATTTAACAATAAACGCTTAACCACTCTACCCTTGTAATCATTGGTGTTTGAACCCATTACCTTTAGAAATAATAACAATTCTTTTAATTCGGATCGAGTTCTAAATTTTAGAATAATGTAAAAACTCATAACATTTAAATATGATTGCTTGTAATGATTCGTGGCGATTATTTTCTAAAATTTGGAATTATTTTAAAATAAATTACTTGTATAACCATAACATAATAAAATTAATACGACGGCTACAGTCAAAATAGAATTATTTTTATAATTTAATTTAATAACTATATATATAATTTACTCCTTTTATTTTAATATAATCACATAAAATTAGGGGAGACACAACTATTATATCTTATGATTAACCTGCCTTAATTTAAGCTTAGGATAAAAATATGCCTAAACATTACAGGTAGTCATATTAAATATTGGAATTATTTAATATTATTATTCTTTTAAAAATGAAATACGAGCTCGTAGTTGCCGTTCTTCAGCAGCGTATGCGTTCTTTTTATTTTGTGATTGCATCTGGATAAGAGTATGGAAATTGCTTTTGTTTGATATGAATTTGAATTTGAGCTATTTATGAACCTCTGATCTGTTCTGTTTCAATAAATCCTTGAAAAGAAAATTGTGAATTTTTCTTCTTAGATGTTGAGCGATTTGTAGGGTTTTGATTGGGTTTATTTAAGTAAATGATTGAAGCAACGATGCTTTGCCTGTATTTGCTATCTTTGGTTTGAATACTTGAATAAATTGTGATTTTGGTTCCTAATTTGGTGAAGAAGAATGATAGCCTGAGCAATGGCGCTTAAGCTGCCGAAGGCGGCTGAGATTGCCATGGGATCTGATATTGTAATGGATCTTCAGCTGCACAACTGTGGAGGGAATCATTCGAAAGATTCACGTCTTGTTGAGTTCGATGAAGATGGAGATCATGAGATTGTGTTACCCGGTGGAATTTCAATAACCAATAAAATGTGTTGAAGGAGAGCGTGAAAGGCTCAGATCCGATGTTCTCTCTTTCCAACAGGTAATGGTTTGTTCGTTCGTTGCTATCAGTATCCACATATGTATATTATGATTCAATTGTTGTGGCATGAATGTCTGCAATTTGGTTATGTTATCATACTAATTTGTCTGCCATGAATGTCTGCTTCTTTTTCTTTTTCTCCAGATGTCAGAGTATTTCAACCAAGAACTCTTTGCCTGGAAGAATACCTTCAGGGCTCTTCAATTCGATGTTTGAATTCTCCGGTTGCTGGCAAAAAGATGGTGCTAATATCAAGTGAAGCTACGGTGTCATGTCAAGAAAGCGGTCCCATCTACACGGGAACCTGCAGCATTGGCTAGGTGAACTTCGATACAAATTTGATCATTGAATGTAACCCAACATGCATATTCTTAATGAAAATATGAAGAATGCTGTTGCCTGTTGTGTTGGTGACCATGAATTTTCTGACGCCTACTGTGCTTTGTGTAATGTTATCTACTCTCTGCTGCATAATCTCAGGTTTATTGGCACTCATGGCACCCGTATAATTGTTGGTGTGAAGATGGGAGGGAAGGATGTTATTTACACAAAACAGAAGCACCCCTTCCTCCACTATTCAACCTGCTGATATCCAGAAAAGAATGAATGATAATATGATATGGCTGATAAGAGGGTCAAAAAAGTTTTTTTTGAGATATTTCACTTTTAGGTCCTTTCTTCTTTTTAATGTTTATATTTGGTCCCTTTTCATAATAGTTTTGGTTTTATTATTAATATTTTCATTCCTTTCAATCTTAGAGCAAAGTTGAAATGCTAACCCCCAAAGATTTACATTTTTCAATTTCACTCTTACATTAGCTAAATGGAAAAAAAAAATCTCTACTCTCTATCCAGGAATCAATAGGGATATTATCGAATCGTCACATCGTCCACTGTGACTATTATCATCTCGGGTGACCTACCTATGACTTAAGATCTAAGGAGAGAAAGTAATCTAGGTTTGAAGTGACCAAAGTGATTGGCAACATAAAAATTTATGTGTGAAATTGAAAAAATATTTGAATGATATTAAGTAATTTGATATAATACATGTACCAAATAGATGATTAACTCTAAAAATAAATATTTTTTTAATTAATCACTGGTATCCGATCTATTGACCGACTAATCCAGATCGGATATTGCAGAGGCGATGGCAACCCTCTCAATCCAGATTGCTTCATTCGCAAACGCCATGATTCAAACCTCTGACCTTGCTTAAGGGACTTAGTGCCTCATCCTACTAGACCAACTGGTTGTTGGTTCTAAAAAAAATATTAATACAAAATATTTTAATATAATTTTATTAATAAATATAATTATTTTGAGTTAAAAAAGTAATTAATAAATTACAATCTCGCATTTATTTGTTTATTTGGTCAAGTGGGCAATTTTTCTTTTAAGCGTTACATAATACAAAGAACTTCAATATTAAATCAAAATAGTAGAAAAATTAAAACCCTAAATTAAAAATAAAACGACAAATTCAAATACGCGTAGAATATGATCAAACCTACTACCAAACAAAATTATTATTATTATAAAAAAATAACTAAAATTATATTTAAAATTGAATTTTGGTGTTTAAAGAATTTTTTTTGTTAAAAATGTATTTTTTTGTCAAAAATAAGTGATTAATATTTTTTCTGTTATACTTTTAGGGACTTATAATTAAAAAAGATGGTTAAGTTTATATTTAAATGCATTAGATGTAAATGAGGGTAAACTATTTATTCAACATCTTACATCTTACATATTCCCATATTTATATTTTAGTCACTTAATTATTTTTTTTGCAAAATTGTATAAAAAAATTATATTTTTCTATTTTGGTCACTGGTTATTGAGTTTAACCGTTAATCTACGAAAATGGTAATGTGATATGGTATAATAATAATAATGTTCATAACTACATTTTTTGTATTTACCAATTTGATATCAATTCGAAATAGTTCAATAAATTCTTTGTCATAACCATTTTTAATAAAATAAAATTTTAATTAAAAAATAAGTATGACTTTATTTTGAAAACTTTAGATTTTGGTTTAATTTGAAATTTATTTGGAGTCGTCATTGACCTTTGGGTTAGGTATGTCGAATACCTAGAAAATGTCTTTTAAAACAATTTTAAGAAAAAAACATTTAAAAAGACAAAAATGGTCTACATATTATCATAAATTCATTTTTAAGGATTCGAGAGTCGGTTACGTGTGGGGAAGGATGAGCACCCCCTCTGCGCCTGTAACATCCTCCATACTGGGTTAGTGATTAAATTGTGAAATTTTATAATTTAGCGATCAAAGTTGATAAATTGAAAGTTGAAGGAATTGATTGAAGTATTTGGTGTAGGATGAATTATTAAGTGAATGAGAATTAAAAGGGTAAAAGGGTCATTGAGCAAAAGTAATAATTAAATATTAGATATTTGGTATTATAACACCCAAGGGAAAGAAACAAGAGTTTTCAGACAACTCTTGATTCTTCTTTCTTCTTCATTTTCTTCTTCAACGTGAAGCACCCAAACTTAAGGTAAGTTTGATTTCTTTTGGTTAATCCTTCAAATTAAAGTATGGGTTTGATTTATGAAGCTTTAGGAAAGATTATGGAGATGGAAAATATTATAGAAACTCAAAGATTGGTGAGTTATGAAGGATTAAAGAAATGAAGTAGAAAAGTGAAATCTTGGATTAGAGTTTCTAATAAGAATTAGAAGTGAGTTTTGACTTGTCATAAAGCTAAATAAGAAGTAGAATTGGATTTCTAAGTTTTAAAAGTATATAATGGATAATAATTATTTTAAGTAAGAGTATGCAAGTTAAGGATATATAAAGAGGGGAAATATAAAGTGTTAAGTAGACTAAGAAGAGATTTTCATGCTAAAATGACAATTCTGGGCAATGTGCATCGATGCACATTCATTGTGCACCGATGCATCGATGATAAATCCCAGAAATTTTTCAAGGTGTACCGATGCACATGAAGTGCATCGATGCACTCTTTTAAAATACAAACATCGAATGCAATTAATGCATCGATGCATAAGGAGTGCATCGATGTATCCCCATTAAATACAAACATCGAATAGGATTTATGCATCGATGCATGGTGTAGTGCATCGATGCATACCTCCATTAAAAGATGAAAATGGCTTTTCTTTTAGCCTAAGAATGATAGCTTAGAATATACTAATTAATATACTGATAAGTATCAACGAATTACTATGTAGATATCGAGCCTAAACGAGTTCCGGAACCATCGACAAGTAGGATCAATCGAGGGAAAGACAAAGAAATCTAGGTGGGTGCATATGCATAGCATGAATATGTATTCTATTCAGTTCTAGACTTGTGATAAGTCTAGATTCAATATTTTGATACATGATCGTATTTCATATTATGATACATGACATGAATTCATACCATATGCATTATGTGACATGAATATGCAAGAAAAAGTTATATGAGTTATGTGATAAAGGTATGAAAATAATATGTCTACGTGATACAAATTATGTGAATTGTGAAAGCCCATGTTATGTAGATGAGAACTATAGGTATAGTTGGCATGCCAAGGGTAGAGGGTCTACGCGGTCCTTCGGGATATATATATATTCTTTGGAACATGTGTGAAGTCTTGTGAGACACATGCTTGATCCCTAGTATATGTATATGATTCTTAATGAATGATATGTGGTCCTTATGGACATTATTATATGGCACTCTGGTGCAATTCTATGAGGCACTCCGGTGTAATTCTATGTGGCACTTCGGTGCAATTATACGAGCTGTGGTGACAGCATAGTGCACAACCTCACAATACTTACATACCTTAGGTTCTTTGTATGGTACCATGGGCTAATGAACTTAATAAGGTGACTTATGAATGTGAATTTGATAAGTATATGTGTAAGAAACATGGTTCTGGTTATTGTATTGTTTACATACATCTTATCATTGCAACCCATATCATTTTGGCAATTACTTTATATTTATTGATATTATTATATTGCCTGTAACACCCCCAACCCGTATCCGACCCGGATACGAGTCCGAAGTGTCACATTGACTTTTTAAACATTCATTCGTATAAAATAGTGGGTAATTTAAAACTTTGATAACATTTAATTTATTTCAAAGCGTTTACAACAGATATCAGAGTTCATACCATTTATATCTTTAGACTACATGCCAACTACACTCTGTAAACAGTACATACATTTTCTGATCTGACATTTGGTAAGGAAAACTGACCTGTCTTGCTCCGCATTACTCTTTACTCTTCTCGAAACTACGCGTGAAACAATCACACGCTAAGTCGAAGACTTAGTGAGGCATAACGACTTATAATGCACTTTAAAACATATATCGATACATGCATGTTCTTTTCTATCATGTTATAGCAATTCCATGCATTCTTCGTATCATATAAAATCATATCAGATTAATTACAGTAAATACATACAGACACATAATTCATCATTAACAGTTTATCATGTAATCACATACTTTTATTGTTAACCTTTTCAATCAAACACTATACACACACAACATCATATGGTTCACGTAACACATTTCAAACCACTTATAACCCCATCGTATACATATCACATTCAGTATGCTTGTTTAATCACTTTATTAGCCCATGTACACTAGTGAGAACTTAAGGTATGTGAGTACATTGAGGTTGTGCACACATATGCTGTCACCACAGCTCGATCAATGTCCCGAAGGACCAGTCCATAGATTCCGAAGAACCTAGGTAATCAGTCCATATGTCCCGAAGGACATAGGTAAACAGTCCATATGTTCCGAAGAACATAGGTAAACAGTCCATATGTTCCGAAGAACATAGGTAAACAGTCCATATGTTCCGAAGAACATAGGTAACCCTCGACCCTTGGCATGCCAACTATACCCCTAGCTCTCATATCACATAACATGGGCATTATCATTTATAACAGTTCACATTACTTATTCATATTCTTTCTCTTATAACCACATATCTTTTCTTTTCAGTCACGTATCACATGTACGTGTAATCATTGATCTCATAACCACATGTTCCTTCTTTTCTGTCACATACCACATGTATGTGTAAACATATATCTAATATCATATGTTGCATGCAATCACATAGATCTTATCTCATAACATATACTTGTAGTCACATAGCTTCTTTTCATATTCTCATAGGATCACATAGTTCATATCTTATACTTTGTTTTCTCATGTTCACATATATCATGTCATATGGCTCATATCTTTATCATGCAGTCACATAGTTCAGTTTCACATATGTTCATATATATACATTACATAGCACATACTTCTCATAACATTACATTCAAAAGCATGTTAACACATATAATCATGCATACATACAATTCATGTCATTCATATACGTATAATCATATATTCATGCATTCTAACAGAGGAAATAGACTTGTCGCAAGTCTTGTTTCCATTTAGCACCATAAACTAATTAATATGCACTCACCTGGCCTCACTAGTCAATTCCAATCTCTTATCTTTCCCCTTGATCGATCTTACTTGCCAAACGTTCCGGAATTCTTTATGTGTAGAATCTACATAAATGTACATTTCGAGGTAATCATTAGATACCTACACCTTGTAATTGAATACTAGCAACTTAAACGAACTTATTAAACCAATATTAACATTTTTCTTTAGGGGGAATCGGTTCCCTACCATGGGGGTATCGATTCCATCAAGACATTCTGGAATTCTGTCGTTTGAAGGGGTATCGGTTCCCCTTGAATGGGTACCGATTCCCCTTGCCCAGAAATCATATTTTCAACCCGAAAATTACTTCATTTCCACTCAAACCCTTCATATATCATCCCCTTTTCATTCTTAACTCTAGTATACATACTTAAACCAATCTATATTCATTTATTTCATCTTAAACCTCAAAATCCTATCTTCCATATGAGATTCAAAAATCATACCAAATTTTCAATGTGTTCTAATTCCAATTCTAACACTCCAAATCTCTTAATTTAACCATTGACAAGTCAAATTTAACTTCAAATTCTACTTATCAATTCCTTTCCAAAATTTCATATAAAAACTCCAAATCTTTAATCTCTCTTAACCTCTCCATCATTTGTTTTTAAGATGATTTAAGCTTTCCTTAAGCTTAGTTATCATCTAATAATCAAAACCCAACCTTAAAATCAACAATTCATTTACAAACAAAGAACTTACCTTTTGAAGCTAGCCCCACGTGAAGAAGAGAAGGCAAGAAGAAGAAAGCTTCCAGATAGCTCTCTTCCCACGTGTATATAATTCCTTAAATGATCAAATGACCATTTTACCCTTTATTTCCTTTAACAATTACAAAATAACCTTCATCATATGCATCTAATAATCATAGAGCTATTTCATTCTTCTATTTTAGTCATCAAATTATGAAACTTTACAATTTGATCACTAACCCGGTATTGAGGATGTTACAAATCTCCCCTCCTTATAAGAAAATTCGTCCTCGAATTTTCACTGCACATCTTAATAGGAACATATCTTCTAATGTTCTTATGTTGCTTCCCTGACTTATTCTTTCTTGTCATCATCAGAAACTTACTTTTCAATCCCTTAGTTTTTCGACTATCTTTTCGTTTATACCTTCATCTTCTGTTGTTTATCATATAAGCAATAACCAGTAATACCAATCCATTGTTGTCTTTTCTCTCATTCGATTATGCATTTTTCCTTTGATCTTTCTAAAATTCCATATAATGTCACTCATCACGTTGACAATAACATTCATCTCATCACTCTATATCAAAACTGTCCTCTGTACTTCCATATTTATCGTATCTGATTCTTTTAAATCAATCCCTTTCATTTCTTATACTTGTATTTTCCTTCCTGAAGGTTCCATGCAAATACTTATCTCTGTTTCTACATCATAGCTATCTGCTCAGAATATACAATTATATTCAAATTCATATCATAATCAATTAACTCCACTATATCTTTCCTCCAATCTTATAACTCTAGCACCTTTACTCTGACAGCTAGATAATAACTTTGGTTCAGTCTAGGGAACAAGCCCTCTTATACCAATCATATACATTCTTTCCAATCTAAATTATCTTAACATTCGCTTACTCAACTTATCAATTTCACCTCTATTCTCATACATCCTGAAATTTCTTTTACTCAAACTCAACATTCTGACTTCCTGTGTCCTATAATCTGATCATCGATATACATATTCTCAAACTCTTCTTATCAATCCTCATCTTTACTTAAATATACAAATTCTTACTTCCTTTTCCTTTACTATACCACATTACTATGATCTAAATATGCAACTGTAT